ATGATCCAAAACTGCTTTTTTTTTTTTTGGTACCAGGGATTAAACTCAGGACCTTGCACCTGTGAAGCAGGCAGCGGCACCACTGAGCTAAATCCCTGGCCCCAAAACTGAAAGTTTTTAAGTGTCACTATGATGATCAAAAAGTTCAGGATTTCAGAGCATTTTGGATTTTAAATTTTCGGATTTGAGATGTTATCCTAGCCTAGTTGACTAAGAAATATCTGTAGCAGTTCTTTTCTGTTGGTAGGAAAGCAAGGAGGTTAAGTAACAGTTTTACTTCTGTTTATATTTATCACCTGCATGTTCTGTTCTATGTCAAGTTCTCAAAATAGATTTTATGTATTTTTCTAGTGCCTTCAGAATACTGTTAGAATCTGATGAAGATAGACTTCTTGTTGTATTTAACCGAGGGTTGATCCTGATGACTGAGGTAAATATTTTATTGCTTTTTACTATGGATTATCTGATTTTAATGTTTTCATCAAGAATTCTTATTTTATAAATAGTCTATGGTAGACTATTTTACAGTTGGCAGGATTTAATTATATAGACTAGAAAATGATAATTTAAATTCTAAGAGTAATCAGGTTGTAATATTTTGGGTGCTACTTCTTTTCTACATTAATTCATAGCTTTTCCCCCATCAAGGGCACAAATTATTTTCCAAGAGCTCATTTATTTGACAAAGTATAGAAACCAAGATTAGCATCATCAATGGAAATGATTGAGTCTGTTACAAGCAAATAAAAATCTGCTGTATTGCCACAAATTATACTAGTATCTTAAAATCTTTGTCATTCTCATTGTGATTCTTCAAGTATGAGATGGCATTTATTTTGTTGTTGTCATGTTGTTTTTTGGGAGATGGGGGTTACCGGAAGTCAAACTTGAGACTTTGCACTTGCAAGGTAGGCTGCTGGCCACTGAGCTAAATCCTCAGCCCTGAAATGATTTTAAAGCTACCAGAGGTACATTATACCCTTTAGTTTCATAATAAAGATAAAACAATAAAGGTTAAAAGTACTGTAAGAATTAAGTAGAGAGCTGTGGCTGTAGCTCAGTGATAGAATGCTTGCCTGGCAGTGCAAGGGGCTAGATTTAATCTGCAGCACCACAAAAAACAGACTTTAAAAACAAAATAGCTTCTATTTTCAGTTGATGGTATTATAGAGTAGAAATAGAACATGTTTGAAACTACTCTTTGAAGTATTTGGACCTAGGAAAGTAAGTGGGAAAATATTTAAAGGACAACGCATTCCAGCCAACATGGCTATACATTTGGCAGCTTTTTATTAACTGTATTTTTTTTTCAGCTTTAATTGAGTTTATTGGTACATCTTAGGGATACATTACATTTACATTCATTGTTGGGATCTTGTACCTCTACATGACAAGTCTTGATTCTCATTTTTTCCCCTTACCTCTGCCCTCCCTTCACCCCCTTCTCCCCTCCCCATCTACAAACACTTTATTTTCATCTTTTCATTCTCTCACATTTTTTTCTTTTCCCTTTTTACTCTTCCCCTACCCATCCCACCTTCCCTACACCTTTAGCTCCTTTCTTCCCATTTCTAAATGTCAGTAATCTTATTAAAATCTTACGCATTGTTGCAGATTATTCACACCAGGGAAACTATTCGGTATTTACACATGTGTGACTTATTTATTTCACTTAGGAGTATATCTTCAATATGTATCCATTTTCCTATGAATGAATCTATTTTCTCGTTCTTTATGGCTGAGTAATATTCCATTTTATAGAAAAACCACATCTTCATTATCCAGTTTCCAACGGATGGGCAAATGGGCTGTTTCCAAGATATTAACTGTATTAATAAAAACACCAATAAAAGTGATTAGATCCGTCTGTGCCACCAGTGATACTAATAAAATTAATAATGCTGCCAGTGTGATAGTTATCCATGTATACCAGCGGTTTAAGCTGCCTGGCAGCAAGACGTACAGCCCCACTGCAAACATGTTGATGAGCTGGGCACAGTGGCACACACCTGTAATCCAAGGCTGAGGCAGGAAGATTATGAGTATGAGGCCAGCCTAGCAATTTAGCAAGACCCTATTGCAAATTTAAAATAATATATTTTAAAGGGCTCAGTGGTAAGAGCACCCCTTGGTTCATTACCCCTAAGAGAAAACTTCACGAGTACAGAAGTATGGAAGTATTGATCCTGTTTAAGGTTGATAGCTATATTTGGCTAAACAAAAAGGTATGGGAAGGTTAGCTGGATGTAGTGGTACACATAGTGGCACACACCTATAATCCCAGCACTGAGGCAAGAGGATCACTAGGAGTTCGAAGCCAGCCTTGACTTCATAGTCAACCCTGTCTTTAAACTGTGTGTAT